CAAATCAACTTCACAAATATACCACAAGTCCTAATAATTTTACCCCCACAAAATCTCTCAATCTATTCCCTTCTCTCCATTCACACAGCCATCAACCTAGTTCAGGCTATTTTCACCTCTCACCTGGACTGTTGCAATAGTCTCCTGACTGGTCTCCCTGCCCCAAGTTTCCTCCTTTCTCCAACTATCCTCCACAGAGCAGCCAACTTGAAACTCTTAAAACAAAGCTTTGACCATGTCACTCTCCTGCTCAAGAAGCTTCAATAACTTCCTTTTACCTCCAAGATAAAATAAAAACTTTTCCATTTGGCTGCCTTCTGAGAGTATGGTATAGTGGATAAAGAATAACTTTTGCCACCAGAATGATCTGAAGTCATCTCAGCTCTGACACATACTAGCTGTGTGACCATAGGCAAATTATATCCTCTCAGTATTTTACACAACTCTAAAAGTTACCAAAAATGCAAGGTCTTTTAGAGTGGAGACTTTTTTTTTTTAAATCTTTGTGTAGCACCTAACAGTACCTAGCAAACAGCTTACTGAATTAATAAACTGAATTGACTAGTTTACCTACTAGCTCATGATGTCTAACTACAACCAGATCCTCACTGTTACATGACAATCATTTTATTCTTCTGACTGATTCTTGCACTATATTCCCTATAGTAGCTGTTCTTTTTCTCTCCTCAAATCCTTGTTCTTCCTTCTCAGCAGATGACTTCACCTGCTACTTTTCGAGAAAATGAGACCATCTATCACAGCCTTTCTCCTCTTCCCTAACTCCATTCCTCAAAACCCTTCAACATCATCTCATTTTTTTCCTCCTTTGCTTCAGTTTTTGAGGAAGAAATGTTCCTTCTCCTTGTTAAGGACAACCCCTCCATTTTTGCCTTTGATCATCTCCTTTCCCATGACTCCCAGGAGTCATTTCCTCTTCTCTCATCTTTAATCTCCATTTCTTCAATCTCTGTCTCCTTTTCCACTGCCTACAAGCATGTTCACGACTTTTTCATGCATAAAAACACACAAAAACTTTTAATTGGCCCTTTCATTTCCCATCGATTTGATAACACTTCTCTCTCTTAGTACAAGCCCAGAAAAAGTCAGCTAATATTTATCACTTCCATTTTATTCTCTCTCATTTCTCATCCCTTTATAATTCAGTTTCTACATTGAAGTGACCTTGTTTTCTCTAAGGTTTCCAACGGTCTCTTAAGTACTAATCTTATGGCTTTTTCTCAGTCCTCATTCTACTATGGTCCACAATTTTTGTCACTCTGACCACCCCTTCATAATGGATACTCTGCTCCATGGATTTCTCAAACACTGTAATATCTATCCTCTCATCAGACCTCATCGATAATACTGTCTTCAGTCCTGGGTGAAATGATTTAAGGAAGGAGGGAAATTAGCGAGTGTCCAGAAGAAACAACAACCAGAATGACGAAGGACCTTGGGTTAATGCTGTAGAAACAAAATATTTATAAATAAATGAAATTAAGTAATGCATGAAGCTTAACTAAAAGTTGCTAAGCCTTTAAATTTACAAGCTAAAATTATAATTTACATTGGAAGCAGTGGATGCACTGGGCCCGGAGTCCAGGAAGATGTGAGCTCAAATCCAGCCTCAGATACTTACTGGCCGTGTGACCCTGGGCAAGTCACTTAACCTCTGTTTGCCTTAATCCACTGGAGGAAGAAATAGAAAACTACTCCAATATGTTTGCCAAGAAAACCTCATGGACAACATTGGCAAGAGGTCATGAAGAGTTGGACACGACTGGACAAAAACAGAAGTTGTTAATTAAAACAAAATAGCCTACATGGAGATTCCAGAATTCATTATAAGTTATCAGAAGACACTAACATTTTATACACACAAGAGATAATTTGATTTATTCTCATTAATATTCATGAAACAACGATTGTGTGATTATGTGGGAAAATGTGTCTCTTATACGTGGGAATATTTTTAACTCATCCTGAAAGTCCTTGAAGCAATGATACTATGATTTAAAATCAGGAAACGTAACTTCAAGCTCTGTTTCTAGATTGTAACTATGATTATGTAGTACTCTCTCTTAATTCTCCTCCTGCTTCTCTGACTGCTCCTTCTTAGTTTCCTTTATTGGATCATCATCCATCTACTACCTAAGTGTGGGTGTTCCCAAAGGCTCTTTCCTGGGTTCTCTTCTCTTCTCTTTAATCAACTCTTGGGAATTCAATTTTCTCTAAAGAGATGATGCTCAGATCCATATATCAAACCCTAATTTATCTCTAGTCTCACACCACCAACTCTCTTCTGGACATCTACAACTGAATCTTCTTGCATTTCAAAACAGAAATAAGTAAACTCATACTTCTCTCTAAATCTACCCCTCCTTCAATCACCTCTATTTCTGTTGAAGGCACCACCATTATGTCAGTCATCTAATTTCATAACCTAAGAGTCATCCTTATATCTTTTCAGAGCTTAGCTCTATCATATAGTAGCCACTTAATAAATATTTACTAACTTGATTTGACTCCTCTCATCCTAATATCTAAGTAGTTGCCTCATCTGGTGAGTTTTACACCCATAATATGCATAGCAGCTTTTGACTTTTCTTCACTCAGAATGCCACTACCTTGATTTGGTCCTTATCACTTCTTGCCTAGAACACTGTAACAGCCTTTTAAATGATCTCAATGCCTACAACATTTCTACTTCTACAACTCAACCTCCACAAAACTCAAAATAATTCTGAGTGACTGTGTCACTCCCTTGCTTAAAAATTTTCAGTGGTTCCTTTGACTTTAGAATAAAAGCTCTTTAGCCTGGTACTTAAAAGCCCTGTGTGTACTCTGGCCCCAAAGTACTTTCTAGATTCCATACTGCTCCATATTCCAGATAAACTGATTTACTGTTTCTCAAACAGTATTCCATCTTCCATCTTCATGCCTTCACATAGACTGACTCACCCACCCACACTCCTCATTTATACTTCTTAAATACTAATCTTTCAAGATTCATCTCAGATGCCACCTCCTATGCAAAATAATTCCATGATCTCCTCAGTTGTTAGAGCATTCTCTTCTTCTAATTACCTGGTACTTACCTAGGTCCATACTGTATCTCACCAGTAGACTAACTTATTGAGGTCAGGAACTGTTTCATTTTTGTTGGTTTTCTTAGCATATAGGAATATTTTAAAAATGTTTGCTGAGTTGACTTATTCCCACTTGCTCTGATTCTCTCACTTGTTTTCTGTCCTTCTTGGGAACTCCTGTCCCTTAATCATTCCACTTCTACCAGAGTTATGAGCCCCCATTTCTTACCTCCTTACTCAACTTGGACCCTGTGGTCAGTCATTTCAACCATACTTTTACTAACACCCTAGAATTGCCTGCCCCTTTGACTTTTTGCTGTACTTGCTTCACCAATTCCAAAACTTGGATAAACTCCACCATCTATCTCTTACATCTCAGACTTCTAAGATCTGTTACTGAAAACCATATAAGTATGTCAAATAACTACTATATGTTTAATACCTAAACTTACGTGTACCTTTCACTACTATCTTGCAATCCTTTTATTCATCATTTACTGGCTCCCAATTATATTCACCAAAACAGCTATCTCGTAATACTATACTATAAGTTCCTTGGAGGCAGAGATTATATTTTATCCATCTTTTGCATATTCCATATTACACAGAATGGTGCCTTACAAAAAATAAAAAATCATTTGTGGAACTGAAATGATAGACAAAGAAGTTAACAGACTGAGTTAAAGATTGAGAAGCTAAGAGTGTAGCACTGGACTTTTAAATTAAAAATATCAACAGATTCAAAGAGTAATTTATTGATACTATAATCTAATGAGTTAAGGGAAAGCTAAGGATGTCAGAAATATATTATACAAGGAAGTACCCATGATCTTCTCAAAATGTCCCTGAGAATCATCATCCTCTTAGAATCCTTCACTTTCCTTAAAACTCAACAAATGAGCTGGAGAAAGTTTATCCAGATTCCCTTCAATCTCCAATTGCTAATATCCTCAACTTTGGAAATTACTTTGTACATAATTTTGTATTTAATTTACAGGATTGTTTCCACCCAATAGGAATATAAGTTCCTTGAGGGTGAGAACTATTTAGTTTTTGTCTGTATACCTCCAGTGGCCAGGAGTTTAATAAATTTTATTGAATTTAATTCAACTGAATCCTCATTTTAGAGATGAAGAAACTGAGGCTCAGAGAGGTTAACTGACTTCCTTATGGTTACAAAATTAGTATGTGTCAGAAGCTGGACTTAAATCCAAGTCTCTGGCATTCTTCCTACTATACTATGCTGCCTCTCTTAAGTACACAAATACACAAACACACACAACACACCTGTGGATCTAGGCAGATCTATTCCATGTATTCAGACCTGAAGAATATGTTTCCCGAGTTAAATAATACTGAACACATAATAATTTCTTTGGGTAATAAAATTTCTTGGTAAAAACCTAACAGTCTAATACCACATTGTGTGCCCTTGGTTATCAAAGCTAGCCAAGCTGAGGGACACTAATAGCTCTCTCCCTAAAAAAAAGCATTTTATCTCCTATCCAGTACTTTATTCCTCAAATAAGAAAAAGCTCAAAGGAGAAAGGTTCAGATGGGACGAGATATAAGCTGACCTGTTCTGAGAAAGGAACTATATTTTGGCAAAGTCAGGACCTAGAGTATAATTGTGTGGCTGTAAAGATAGATGGAAATCTTACAGTTCTCTAGAGTTGATATCTAAGACTAATCACACTTAATGTGGAATTTTAGCCCCAGTTTGTAAGTACATAGTTCTTTAGATTTGTAAAAGTTATAATCATAGTTCCTGGAACTGGCCCATATAGTGATTTTATGTCTTGTTTCTTCAAACATGGAGAGACTAATACAGAAGAAGAAAACCACAGCTGTTCTAACTCCTCTGTAAATATTTATCACTACTCCCTTCCTGAATAAAATTCCATTCCTTACCTCTTTCTTGTAGAATCTGGGGATCTGAAGAGTCACACTTAAGTCCCATAGGCTGTGGCTGGATACTTGGTGGCTCTTGTGCTCCCAGAGTTGTTCTCTCTTCCCAGGGCATTCCACTGGCATGAGCTGGGACCTGGTGATATTGGGTTCAGACAGACTCATAAGAGTTAATCACTTTGAGAGTAAGATATCTATCTTCAGTACAAATTAAAGGGATTATCCCCAAGAACACTACACAGATATAAGAGCAAATGAAAATTTAATATAACCCTATAAAAATCCTATGATACCTCATCATAATATAGAAAAGACTCTGGGTTTCTGGAGACTATATAAGCATAATGATCTTGAAGCTAAGGGGGTAGCCATCAATTGGAGAATGGATTAAAAAAAACATGGCATATGATTTTAATTGTATATAATTGTTTTACAAGAACTGATGAAGGACAGTTTGAGAGAAACCTGGCAAGACTCATGAACTGATGCAAGGTAAAGTGAGTAGAACAGGAAAACAACTTATGCAATAACAACACTGTAAAAACAAACAATTTTGTTTTTACAACTCTCATCATTGATCAGAACTGATCAATACAGTGATCAACCAGGACTCCAGTGGGCTGATGACGAGAGAGCTGATAGATTAAACATGTAGAATAAGAATCATATTTTTGGATGTAGACAATATGGGAATTTGTTTACATGATTATGAATATTGGTTACAGGGGTTTTTTTCTTTTTCTTTCTTTTTTTTTGGAGGAGAGAATAGGAGAGGAAGAAAATATATGCCTGTTAATTGAAAAAAACTAATTAGAAAAAGGTATACCAAGTTATACATTTTAAAACGAAAGCAAGTTGTATTTAAAAGAGATTGAAGTTTCATATACAGTCCCTTTTTTCTCTTCTACTATGCACGGAAATACTCATCGTATTGGATGCCTAAGTTCACAATAAAACAAAACATGAACTTAATTACATCTTAACAGACTGGTTACTAATTTTGAGGTTATTGTCAAATTGGCAAAGCTTCACATATTCAAAGCACTTACCAAAATCACACTATGTACAGAAAGAAATATATAAACAAGAAAGTACAATTAAAATAGTTGCAAAGAGGCAAAATATACTTCACACAGCTCATCCCAATCTAAGACAGATCACATGAGTAAAGTCTTACTGAAAACCATGCAATTAATATATATTCCCCTTACCCCTATAACATAAAGGAGAATGAAGTTAGCCACTTCTGAATGAAATGGATTTTACTTTCTCACAGTTTAAGTCACTAACTCCTCTCCCAAAAGTTAGCATTTAGGCCACAGGCATTCTAAAGATTTTTTCACTGAAAAACAGGATAATGTCAGAGAATCAAAGTGGAAGAACACTGATGGTTGTTACTTCAAATGTGAGATATTTTTATATATAATCAATCTGGCAAGTGAAATATATCCCACATCATCTAAAGTTTAGTCCAAAAATTTCCTGTTGGCAATATCACCAGAAAAGGTCCTATGAATTTCTAGGATCATCTGTTGGACTATAAGATCCAGTTAGCTTTCTAGAACATTAGGAATTTTTATTTTATAACCTCCTTTACAGATCTCACCACCTCCAGATGTTTCCTCAGGAGAGCATGGGCACCAATATTTTTTTTGGCAATAATCTCGTACAAAAGGATTACTTTTTGCACTGCAGCCTTTACCAGAGGGAGATTCCCATTTCTTGTAATGGATAATCATTTGGGTCTCCTGCAATAAGTACAAACTTTGAAGGACCAGAGCATCCAAAAGCACCTAGTACCTGGCTATATTACTTACCACCTTGGAGGCAGAAAAAACAAATACAAAGGAATAAAAGGAGTTAAACACTGAGGAATGTTGTCTTAATGCAAAGACTAAAGATAATGGAATGTTATGACAAGGAGAAACAAGTTGAGCTGCAGAAGAAAATCTAAATGTCCAACATTTTTGGCAATTTTGGGGTATAATTCCAAATTGCTTTACAGAGTGGTTGCACAATTTCAAAGCTCCACCAGAAGTGCATGCCTACCTCCTCCAAAAACTGTAATTTTTTTTTCATCTTTGCCAATCTTATGGGCGAGGTAGAACCTCAGAATGATTTAACTTACATTTTGTTATTATGGGCCATTTGGAGCATATTTTCATATTGCTGATAGCTTGTCTCCATTCCTCTGAGGCTTGTCCATGTTCTCTTGGGAAATGGGTATTGTTACATTTGCAATGATTCCTTAAATATCTTGGAGATCAGAGCTTCATCAGAAAAATATGCTACCTAGTTTCCACCAGTTAACCATATCCTTTGTAATTCTAGTACTAATTTAGTTTCTACAAAAACTCTTCAGTTGTATGTAAAAAAACCATCCATTTTGTCTCATGAGACCTCTGTATTAATCTTGTTTGGTCGAGAACTCTTCCCCTACTCATACCAATGAAAGACATCTCCTTTCAAATCCGGCCTCAGATACCTGACACTTACTAACTGTGTGACCCTGGTCAAGTCACTTAACCCCAACTGATTCAACAAAAAGCCAAAAAAAAAAAAGACATCTCTTACACTACTCCTTCTAATTTGTTTATGACATTTTAAAAATCTACATTTTTATATCCATTGGAATTTGAGGCATATGGTGTGAAAATGGTGGTCTAAATCTGTTTTCCAATTTTCCCTTAAGTTTTTGTCTAACAGTCCTTACACCAGTGGTTGGGAGAACTTGAGTTTCTAATACACTATGCTATTAGGTTCAATTACTTCTGGGTTTGTGTACCTAATCTGTTTCACTGATCAACTTTTCTACTTTTTACCAGCAATAAAGACTTTTGATGATTACTACTTTGTACTATACTTCTAATGATCTACTTCTGCTAGGACTCATTCCTCCCAATTTTTTTTCTTTGTCAGTGTTTCCCTTGGGATTAGCAGCACACAGCGTGGCATATAAGAAGCACTTAAATGAACACTGACTAACCAGGATTCTTGACCTTTTGGTACTTCCATATAAATTTTGTTATTTTGTATAGTTCTATAAAGTAATTCTTTGGTAATCTGATTGGTAAAGCAGTGAATCTACAAATTAACTTAAATAGTATTGTCATTGTTTTATTATATTAACATGACCCAACAAAGTAATTACTATCTATTCATTTGTTTAGGTCTTTGATAGGATTAATGTCTACCAGCACCACTTCCTCTCCCCGCCATGTAGTTCTAGTTCTTTGCCTAAAAAGAAGTTGTCATGGATAGAGTACTGGCCCTGGAGTCAGGAGGACCTGAGTTTAGATCCAGCCTCAGACACATAACACTTCAGTAGCTGTGTGACTCTGGACAAGTCATTTAACCCTAATTGCCCTCACCAAAAAAAAAAAAAAAAATTTTAAAAAATTAAAAAACTAAAAAAATAGAAAGAAGTTGTCCCCAAGATTCAACTGGCTCAAGCTCAAGTCTCACAGGTGTCAAGTCACAGAACCAGCTTCCCAGTGGCCTCAGGCCATGCTGACAAGGCTTCTTGGTCACCCTAGGCCCCACCCATATGGAGCTGAGGCCCTTCAGGGCTGGTGGATGTCACAAGGTCTCACAAGTTACCATACCCTGAATTTTTTTGAACAGACATATTTCAGTATGGAGACAAAGAAAGCTGATTTATCTGACCAAAGTGCTGTACCTCCTTGTTAAGAATCATTTGTATGCTATGCCATTCTCCCTGGAATTCTCTCCCTCCTCATCTCTGTCTCATGGCCTCCTTCAGGTTCTAGTTAAAATCTGACCTTCTATAAGACTCTGCCTTTCTTAATTTCCCTTAATGCTAGTGCCCTCCACCTGATGATTATCTTCAATTTATCCTATAGATATCTTGCTTGTACACAGTTGTTTTCATGTTGTCCTCCCATTAGAATGTGAACTCCGTGAGAACAGAGAATGGTTTCTTTTTGCCTTTCTTTGTATTCCCAGCACTTAACACAGAGTCAGGCACATAGTAAGTAGGTGTTTAATAAATGCTTGTTGACTGACAAAGTCTCATTTTGTTCAAATATCAGATGTAAACTATCAGGGGACCAGTCTGAGTTAGGCCCAGCCCCCAACGTATCATATAGTCAGTCACTGGAATATACTGCCATCAGACAATACAAATATGAAGAAGTGATCAAACAGCCAGCTACAGCAGTGAGGCACCCTATAGCAGAAAAAGACACCACTCATGAGGCATATTTAGCTCTGTTGGTGCTGAGAAGGCTGACAATACAGGTAAAGACAGAAACAAGGACTTCTGAATAATAATGTAGCCTGAAAAGAGACAGCCAGCCCAGATCCTACATATCTACTTCAACAAAACCCTAGAAATGACCCTATAACAAATAATTTTCAAGCAATACAATGAGTAACTATAGTAACTAACTTATTCTACCTCAGAAATGCATAAAAAGTTAGCCAGAGGACCACAGACAACTGGAAACAAGGCCCAGAAGACAAGTTAACACAGGCAACAAAGTCAGAAGCCACTGAGAGGGCCAGAGAAATTTCAGAAGTTTGACCTCTGGTTTTCTCATTTTTGCAATTTATGTAATATCAGAACTTTTTTTTCAGTACCTTACATTTTCTTCTATTTTTTTTTTCATCTTTTGACCTTATTCCACTATTTCTTGTTGTTAAATTCTATTTGCTCCATGCTACCAATCTGGATGAGGTGGCTGGTATTAGGCCACTAGGACTTAATCTGTGCCTCCTGTTTCAGTATCCTGGTGATCCACAGCTAATCCTGGATTTGACCAGTTTCTGTCTTCTTACACAATCTCTAATCCATGCCCTGCTATGGCCCTGACAAGTCCCAAAGGGGAGTCTGAGATCATACTTGTCTCAAGTCATATCCCCCATGCAACAGTGCTCACATATACTGCTGGACCTGTCTTCTACAAAGTGTACCCCATTGCAGTGACCTATATGTGAGTACTAGTTCTGTCACCTATTTCTGTTCTGACAGGCTATGATCTAGCTTCATAACTAATTACTGAGCTTGCATAGGCTTGTGATCCATCCTCTTCAGAGTACTGGTTGGCTTCAGGTCTATTTATAAAAGCTCATGCCTTATCTTCAAAACATATTCAAATGAAAAGTGCAGAGCTTACAAGATTCCAACTGTGCATACTGATTGTTGAGTATAAAAAAGCATTTCATTTGATAAAACAAATCTTCAAGGTTCCTCTTCCAAAAATGGGGCTCCTATGAATATGTCAAAGTCAAAAAGGTTGTCTGAAAGATGCAGTGATAGAAATAATATTGAACCTCTGATTATTAATACCAAGTGAAAGAAAGCTGGGAGATATATGCTTGCCAAATGTGTTTGCCAGTGCCAAGGAAGATGTTCAAACGAAAGCAGCATTCCCTATAGATGATGAGGTAGTTCCGATGATTCTGTTTGTAGATGATGTTTTACTGATTACACTAAGGCCAGAACACTGCAGAGCCTCCTAGATGAAATCCAAAAATATTCAAGAATTGAACTATACAAAATAGGAAAAACCAAGTGGACAAAAAACCTCCTATTTTCCAGACAGTTACATAGAAAATCCATAGAACTGGTTCATCAGTATATACAAGGTATAAAAATCTTAGTGCACTTTTAAGTTTAACTGAGTCTAAATAAGCTTAAAACTGCACTAAGACTCTTGGGACACCTTGTGTATCTGGGATAGACAATACAGCTAGACAATTAACTTGACCAAGAATTGAATAGGAAGAAAGCAGACTAGATTGCATTTGGGAAATTGCCATACTTTTAATGATACCAAGCTTCTCCCTGGGACAAAACAAAGGCCCACCACTTTAGCTCCAATATTTTTCTAGTGATACTACATGGCTACAAATCATGAAATACCACAGTCACTCAAGAACTAATGTTGCAGATCACCCAGAACACAATGGAGAGATATACATCAGATAAGAATGAGCTGCTATATATTCAAAAGCAGCATAAAATTAATTGAAAAAATGTAACAATGGAAGAGGAAGTCATTCAATCACATGATAGCAGATAGCTAGCCAATATGCTCCACTGGTACCCATGTAATGTCAAGAGATGTCAAGGAAAGTTCTTGAGAATGTTAGGTGAACTTTCTGTGAAAGACTTGTAGGAGAACACGGAAAAGAATTGCAAAGAATGAAAAGGTATGGATAGGTTACAATCTATACCCAACAACATATCCCAGGGCACTGAGGAAGTTAAGTGAGAGACAAAGACTAAACATTTCAGCCCAGTGCAGTACAGATTAAATCCCACTGCTTAGGTAGTGCCCCTCACACTTGCTTAGACATACAATTTTTTTTTTTCTGTTTTTGGGAATAAAATAGGAAAGAGATACACATAGAGAAAGTAAAGGCAGCAGTTTTATGAAAGAGTACTTGATTGGTGATCAAGAAAAATGGTTTTTACTCTTAGATTTAGCATTAATTAGAAATGGGAGCCTAGGAAAATCAATTAGCTTCTTAGTATGTTTGCTCATTTGTCAAGGTGTCAATGGGGAAATAGCTTCACAGGGATCCTATAAAGTTAAAAATAATATGACATTTACTTTGACAAAGTTTAAAGCATTATACATTATGTATATGCATATATATGTATACAGCCACACACACACATATACAAGGCAGCTGGTGTTAGAGCAAATAGAGTACTGGGTCTGAAGTCAGGAAGGCCTAATTTCAATTTGATGACAGACACTTACTAGTTATGACCTTGAGAAAGTCACTTGACCTACATGCCTCAATTTCCTCATCTGTTAAATGTGGATTAATAATTAATAATGGGGATTAATAACACTTCAGAGGGTTGTTGTGAGGATCAAATGAGGTAATATTTCTAAAAAGCACTAAGCACAGTTTCTGGCACAGAGCAGGCATTATATAAAATGCTTATTCTCTTTCCCTTCCTTCTACTCTGTGTGTGTGTGTGTAGTACTGTATTATTATTACTATATGCAGCCCAGCACATAGGAGACTAACATTTAGCCACTCTCAACTTGCTCAATTCAGTTCAAAGTTCCATGGTTCCTTACTTATAAAAAACACAATTCCTTCTACTTACCTCTTGTCCTAGTATGTTAATATGTCTCTCCAAATCCTCCAACACTGTTACCACCTCCTCTCCACTTTCTAGATGATGCTCCTGAACCAATGTCTGAAGTTCCCCAGGTAGGATGGACAGGAATTGCTCTAGCACCAGCAGTTCCAGGATCTGCTCCTTTGTGTGCAAATCTGGTCTTAGCCACTGATGGCAAAGGGCTCGAAGCTGGATCAAAGCTTCACGGGGCCCCAGTGTCTCCCTGTAGCAGAACTGTCTGAAGCGCTGGCGGAAGACCTCCTGGCCATGAGGGTTAGGCTCATGGAAGCTGGATTCCTGGTCCCAGTTGTGGTCTTCCTCCTCTACTTTTACTATCACAAGACCTTCCTCTGGAGCCTGTACCAGAGGAGATAGGCCTACAGTCTCCCTTGATTCTACAGCCATCTGGAGCTGGAAGAGCTTGGGACAAAGCTTACTTTAATTGGGTTCTTTTCAAGGAAAGATCCTCTTGAAACTCTTCTCACAGGGTGTTGTTTCTGAGGTATAAGAAAATGATATGTTGCTATTTAAAGTTAGTCAGAAAACAATTACAATACCAATTTAACAAAGCTCATTACCCAGTCTAGCCTTTTTGGTTAGTCATTTCAAGGATGTCCTTGTTATCACTGAGAATCACTCACCTCCTTGAACTCTCATTATGCCAATCTCTAACCCTTAACATCTACTTTCTCAGATTAACAGGTTACCATACACTTGTAGAAAAATTAATACTGTACTAATTTGATCCACTACAAATTCCTGTTGTATAGTCTAAAATGGGACATCGTTGTTTCTCAGCAAACTTTCTTAGTCTGTGTGACTTGGATCTCTTTCATATTCCCTAAACTTTTTCACACTGACTAGATAAAGGCCCATCAATATGAGTTTCAACTTCCTTCAAAGTTTCCCTTCTGACTCAGAGAAAAGAATGTATCTTCTCCCTTCCATCTCATTAATCCTTCTGGATAGCCATCCCCAAGCCTGAGGTTTTTGAAGGAAGGTCTAAGGCTTGGGAACATAGAGTTCCATGGGGAGAAAGGAGGAAGAAAAATGAAATACTGAAGGGTAGTGCTTTCAGTTGGGGGGAAGAGGGTGGTTAGTATGGCAAAAGATCCATCTTAGAGGTAATGTGTTTTTAGGAGACTGAGGATAGAGAAGCTAAAATTGTTGTGGCTTTACCACTGCCAGTGGTCTAAGGTCAAGCATAAGATGGGGGATACTGGGTCCTTGTATCCACAGAGCCTCTAAGACTTATGATGGTCTACCTCTAGGAAGTCACATTTATTTATTTTTTATAGTATTTTATTTTTTATAATTACATATAAAGACAAATTTTAACATTGATTTAAAAACTGAGTTCCTAATTTTCTTCCTCCCTTTCTAAGATACTAAACAATCTGATATAGGTTATGTATGTGCAATCATGTAAAATCTATTTCCATATTAGTCATGTTGTGAAAGAAGACCAAAAGAAAAAAAAAACACAAAAAATAATAAAATGAAAATAGTATGTTTCAATTAACATTGAGACTCCATCAGTTCTTTCTCCGGATGTGAATAGCATTTTTCCTCATGAGATCTTTGGAACTGTCTTGGATCACTGTTTTGCCAGGAACAGCTAAGTCATTCATAGTTGATCATGCACAATGTTGCTGTTACTGTGTACAATGGTTTTGTTCATGGAAGTCTTTCCAGGTTTTTCTGAAATCGGTCTGCTCATCATTTCTTATAGCACAATAGTATGGGAATGGATAGATATCCCCTCAATTTCCAATTCTTTGCCACCACAAAAAGAGCTGTTACAAATATTTTTGAACAAGCAGGTCCTTTTCCATTTTTTTTTTCTCTTTAGGACACAGACCTAGTAGCTGGATCAAACGGTTATGGCTGTGGTTGTGTGTGGTTTGTCCTTCCTTCTCAAAGAGGACAATGACATCAGTGAGATGATGACATGACTTGCAAATGACTTTGATTTCAGGGAGGGAGGGCTGTGCAAAGTCACCAGCCTCACTTTCTCCTCTAGAGCCACCTGAGTCCAGTGGCCAGATATCCATCAGGATGACTGGAGATGGCTCATGATGCAATGGGAGACCTTGGTCCTTTTAAAAGAAGGTCTTGGGGCACCTAGGTGGCACAGTGGATAGAGCACCAGCCCTGAAGTCAGGAGGACCTGAGTTCAAACACTTGACACGTACTAGCTGTGTGACCCTGGGCAAGTCACTTAACCCCAACTGCCTTGCAAAAAAAAAAAAAGAATTAAAAGAAGGTCTTTTTAGGTTCTCACTCTGAGTGAGGCAAAGCCCATTTCATAAATAGGCCTCTTTAAGAATTGAGTCAAGGGATGGCCCATTTAATTAAAAAAAAAAAAAAAATCAAACTGGGAAGGGAAGACCCTCAGGGTTGCTGGCCAAAAGAGAAACACTTACTATTTACATCCACTCTGAGCCAGGAGGGCTCAGATCAAAAGGTATACACAATTTGATTGTCCTTTGGGTATAGTTCGAAATCGCTCTCCAGAATGATGGGATCAGTTCACAACTCTACCAATGGTGCATTAGAGTCCCAATTTTCCCACCTCCCCTCCAACATTTATCATTTTCCTTTTCTGACATATTAGCCAATCTGATAGGGATGAAGTGTACCTCTGAGTTGTTTTAATTTGCATTTCTCTAATCAATGGTGATTTACAGTATCTTTTCATATGTCTATAGACAGTTTTGATTTCTTCTGAAAACTGCCTGTTCAATGACTTATATTCTCATAAATTTGCCTTTGTTCTCTATATATTTTAGGCCTTTAACAGAGACATATGATGAAAAAATGTTTGGGAAGCCACAATTAGCACTTATTAGAACTGAGAGCCAGATGGTAGAACAAACTTTTAGTTTTGAAGATGCCGTAGATAACAATCTATAATATGGTTAAAGACACTGATTGATATTACAATGATTTTAGTATTTATGTAGTAGCGTTTTGCTTGTTTAAATTGAGTGTATAAAGTTTACGGATAAGTTTGCAACTTATATTTCAATCAGCAAATTCAGTTGACTTCTTAAACTAGGGAATTATAATTTAGATATATTTAACATTTCTGTCCTTAGATGAGTTAGATCCAGAGTAGGTGCTTTGCTTGGCTGGTTTATAGTTTAATGGACCTCTAATAAATTTGAGAGAGTAGAAATCAAAACTTAAAACACATCTGTCCTTTGCCAATAGAATGTGAAAGAAGAAACTATTTGGATTTTGTCTTTGCATCCCCAGCTTCCAGCACAACGCCTTAGGTGTTTAATAAATGCTGAATTAAGTTGAACCCTCTGAAGCCTTAAGCAATCCACTGTACCTTTTCTCACTCATGTTTTTAATCTTTCTCTCTACTGACTTTGCCTACAAACATAATAATAAATTATATTTATATAGCATTTCATAGTTAAAAAGCATTTATTATTACTATTTTTACTCTGAGTATTATTCCAAAGAAGCTCAGGTCTCATCTTAAATTCAGAAACCTTTCCTTGACCTTCATACCTTTCAAACTGTTGTCATCTCTCTCAGCCTTCTTTTACCACCAAATTTCTCAAGAGAACAAACTAGACAAACTACTTCACTACCCACTCATTCCTTAAATCCTTGCAATCTGGTTTCTGCTTCCCACATACTACAGTAACTGCTTTCTTTTTAAAGTTACCAATAATCTTCTAATCTCTAAAATCAACTACTTCCCTTTTGACTTCTCTACAGCATTTGGGACTGCAATATTTAACATACATATTTAACATGAGATGTCGTGGCTTCTTGTAATTTCTTTGTTTTCCTAACTTCTCCTCAGCAAATGCTCTTTGAAATACCATTCATTCCAAATCAAAGTAGATTTGCTGGTGCTCAAACATAACTTGTACTGCCTCGCCTTTGCCCCTTGGATGCCATTTTCTCTTCTAAAAGTGTCCTCTTTCCAAATCTCCATTATTCAGAATTCCACTAATCCTTCAAGGCCTAGCTCAGATTTTACCTCCTCCATGATGACCCTGATTACCTTAGAAGATTTTTGCCTTGAATTTCTACAGCATACATTTCAATTTCTACAGATAAAATCTTCATTTTATGGTACTAATCACGAACTGTTTTTTTTTTAAGTCATTTGTACATATAGCTCCTCTACCAAATTGTATGCTTCTTTAGAGAAGAAACTGATTCCTCTTCAGATACTCTTACAGAGGTATTTAAATGCCTACAAACATAATAAATTATATTTACACAACATAAATGTATTTTATATATTTTACATAAATACATTTTTCTATTTTAAATGATCTGTAGTGGAATGAATAAATGAAAGCTGTGTAAAGTGATCAACAGTTAAGAAATTCAATTTCTTTGTGGACTGTGGGTCTGTTTCTTTTCAGCATTTGGCACTTGAAAAAATCAGGTTAACAACCCCAGGAATACACTTACTACTCTGTGCAGAGGAGATGACACTGAGCACTGATTTTATTGGGAGTAGTGCAAAGTAGGGGTGCTAAGTAATGTGCAGGAAGAGTAAAGTTGAGTAGGAGGCAGTGATTACCACAGGTACCACAAAGGAAAAACTGGGGTGATGTGGGCTTAAATAAAATTGGGGAAGAGGGAAAATTTTTGCAGAAGGGTAGATCTGAAGTAGGGGCAAGAAGGCTGGAGTAATAACAATGATATAAGTTGTTTTATTATTTTTTAATTAAAAAACAAATTTTCACATTAGTATTAAATTTTCTTAACATACACTTTTATAAGCAAAATGCCAAGATTATGCAATTGAAGTTAAAACAAGCTAAAATTCAAAGATCATGATGGAATAAGGACAACCAGTAATTTAATAGTATTTGAAATATTATGTATTAAAACTTTTGAAAAGTCTTATAAATATAGCAGATACATTATCTTCAGCTAATTTCTTGCTAATATTTTCAACAGTCACAATAGAATAAGGATCAATATTTAACTTCTGAAAAACTAGTTCCTCCATAATACCCACTACAAAATATGTCATTTCTCAGTCTAAATAAAGAACTCTGATGATGCTATTGTTAAGCACTTGGACAAACCATTTGAAACCATAATTAATTTCCAAATCCTGTCATCAGTACAGGCCCTCATCACCAGCCACCTGATTTACTACCTAAGCTTTCCCCCTCCAATACGTTAATCTTCTTAAAATGCCATTTTCATCATTTTACAGCCCAATTTCAAAAACTTACAATGTGCTCTATTCCATATTGGATCGAGGTCAAAAATCTCAAATCCGGGCTACATTTAACCCTAAACTAGCTACACATTGTGTTCCGTTACTAGCCAAATACAAACCTGCTCCAGTTATGCCACCACTTCCTCTGACCCTTCTATATACTCCAATCATTCAAAACTATGCTTCTGCTTAATATTTTAACTGACCAAGAAGCCCTTTCTAAATTCTCTGCCTAAGGTGGAAGGTCCCTTGCTCAAGTTTATGCCCTTCACAAATATCTCA